AATACCTCTTCCATGTATTCAAAGTCCATCATATGATGTGTCTAAACTTTGTTTTCCTCCTTATGGATGTTGTTTATGGTCCAACCCACTTTGATATTCAATGAGACAATTCATATCATGCCCTCTTAAGAGTGTATAGCCTAAATCACCAAAAATTTGGTCTTGTTGCTCAATTGTATAGACCTTACTGCAAGGATCTCTTTTAAGATAGTCTTGGTTATGTTTCTTCTCCACCATAAATCATAATCTATGGCCTTTTAAGCTTATAAAGCTGTGAGCTTCCTTAGATCTTTTAATGAAGTCATGAGCTTCATCACTTTCTCCCATGAATTCGTGAATCATCATATGATTCCCCTTATGGCTGAGAGCTTTTATGCTCACGTGTTCTCTTATGTGAACTTGGACTATGCCTTAGCCATGAATTGTGATATGTGTCTCCAAAATTCACATCACCTCCATTGCCCTATATATATATATTTAATAATTGTCATTTTTCCGTTTTTTTTTTCTTCATCCTCGTATTTTTATCATGGTGTATTCCCAACCCCCACAAAAAAAGGAGCATTTAAGCCTCAACATTGGTGTGAGTGGTGAAGAAGTAAGGTTGTGACATCATTAACTCGGCAACACTCCATGTGTTGTGAAATGGTGGGATTATCAACTATGAGCTATCTCGCTGATGTCATGATTACTGCATACTGGTTAAATGATTAATAGTTTAGGTGAGTGACAATGATTAGTGAAAAGAAAAGAAAGATAAGGGAGGAGAGCTCAAATTGCTAGTGTTATAAGAAGTGATGACTAGTTAGTGCGATGCTAAGTTGTAGCACCCGGAAAGGAGGAGGAAAAAAAAAAAAAAAAAAAAAAAAAAAAAGAGGGGGGGGGGCCACGTCAGCAGCCACGTCAGCAGGCCCGGTCAGCAGTCCCGGCCAACCGGGGCCTGCCACGTGGCAAGATCGCGTCACTCCAAAAGGAGCCACGTTGGCGATCCGCGTGGGTGCGATCCGACGGCCCAGATCAATCGCGCGATCGGACGGCCCAGATTCAAACGCACGGACGGCCCAGATTCAATCAAAAACGAACGGCCCAGATTAAAACGAAATGAACGGCTGTGATCAAAAGGCAAGGGGTTATAAATAGAACCCCCACACCAGACCACAAACCCTAGCCGCCAGCCGCTCGCCGGAGAAGACGAACCAGAGGCCGACCGCCGCCACCCGCCGCCACTCGCCGCCGCACCGGGGAAATTTCTGACCGCCGATCGAGGTAAATTTCATACCCCCGACTCGTTTTTCCCCACTGATTCCTCCTATGGCCAAATCGAAGCCGAAATCCTGGCCAAACGGCCGGAATACGCGGCCGAAGCCCAGCGGCGCCGCCGCGCTCCCTCTCGGTTTTTGCCTCCGACGAGGCCCTTCCCGGCCTCCGTTCGATGCAATTTTTATATCACCGTGATCACCATTCTTTTCTCTACAGGTTGACCGAAGCCAAATCACCAAAACACGAACCTCGCCGGAGAGTCGCCGTACCCGAGAGCGCCGCCGCCGGTAAGCTCCGCTTTTCCGTGATTTTTTGGCCCCCCGAGGGCCCTAGGGTTGTTTTCTGACAAGGACCAATGCGAGTGTGGCCGAATTCGGCCAAAAACGGCCGAAAACAGTCAACCCGAGGCGACTCGCCGCCGCCAGCGGCGGTGCCGTCGCCGGAGCACGGCGGAGCCGCCGTGCCGGAGTTGCGATTTGGGCCGAAAGAGGCCCTGGGCCTAATTTGGATTTTTTTTGGAACACGTGCAGGTACTGTTAGTGTGTTTCAGTTCCCCGGGAAAAATTCAGGGAAAATTAGGGACAGCCTGCAGGCGCACTGTGAATCGTATTCGGATCCCGAAAACAAGTAAGGACCCCTCACCCTATTTCCTATCACGGTATTAAAGTTCAAAATGATAAAACGGTATTTCTTGAATTAACGCATGTGTGAAATTGCTTAAGGTTGCTAATGGAGCCCGAGTCTAGTGTGATTGATGATTTACTGTTATTTGGCATGTTTTACACTGTTTTACAGCTTTAAATGCATTATGGGGTTTGATGTGTTCCTTTTATAGTTTCGAATGCATATATTACTGTTTTATTAATTATGGGTTGAATGACTGAAGAACTGATACTGTATGTTGTCTGTTCGGCATGAATTACGATTTGCTTGTTTAAATGTGAATTGATGATGCTTATTGAGGAAAAAGGGAAATGAAACATTGTATAGACTGATAATTGTATGACGGGGTCAGCCTGACTAGATATCCTGGGAGATGGTGGACGGACCGGATCCGTAGGGAACCCTACCGGGATTATGGTCTCACATGCCGGACGGGGCATGGAGATCTTATGGTTTTGGCGCCCATACCGGACGGGGTATGGGGACGGCCCGTTTCACCCTCATACCGGACGGGGTATTGAGGTTTATGGTTTTGGCGCCCATACCGGACGGGTTATGGGGACGGCCCGTTTCACCCTCATACCGGACGGGGTATTGAGGTTTATGGTTTTGGCGCCCATACCGGACGGGGTATGGGGACGGCCCTGGAAACTGATTATGAATGTTAAAGGTTAACGGGTAGCGGGACCCCTAGGGACCCCCATGGATACTAGTAGGCTGGTAAATGAGAAAAAGGATATGTTGTATAATGATTGAATTACAAAAGGCGTGATAAGTGCTATGTTTTACAGCTTATATTATTCCATGATTGTGATAATGTTATTATTTTTCTTATATTGTTTTCATAAATTCCACCGAGGTAAGTGGATGGTAAAGGTTTTCATGTTAATAAACGAGTTTATTGTAAATTATGCTCCATTGGTCTTTTTGTGGTTTTCTACCCACCTTTATCTCCGTGACGGTGAGATATCGTGATGTTCTTACTGGGCTAGTGTAGCTCACTCCTTAATTAACCATTTTAGATCAGGAAGACATGGTTCCCGAGCCCGTTCCGCAGGAGGACGACGAAGGGGATGCCTAGAGACTCTGTAGTCATACGCATAGTTTATTTTCGAGTTTTCTTTCTTAGTTAGTTTAACCTTTTATATTTTAAGTACGTTTTTTTTGGAGTTTTTTCGTGTAAGGGATGTTAACTGAAATTTTGATCTCGCTTCCGCATTCGATATATTTAAATACTCATTTCTTTTTTAATATTTTCCGGGGCCGTTACATAAGTAGCAAGTGCGAGTAGACTAGTTAGGGTTAAACTCATTATTTTCTTTTTATATATATATATAATTTATTATATAACATATATAATCTATAAAATATTTTAAAAAATACTGTTTCAATTATTTGGTTTGTTTTGTTCGACAAAACGACACATTATGACTGAATCGGTCAGAAAATTATTTTTTTGAATTGATAAAATAAATTCGGTCAATTCTTATACTTCCATAGTTGTATGTAATAATCTTACATTGTCAATTTTAGTATCAATTATTAATTATCGACAATACTAACTAGTTTTAGTTGATCCATAAAGGGTTGAACTTTTGTTCATATGTTTTATATATTGTAACGGCTCCGGAAATTTAAAGGAAATGTACATAAAAATTTTAAGTGCGGAAGCGAAATAAAATAGATTATGGTTAACATCCCTTACACAATAACCAAAACGTATTAAACGTATGAAAGAATAAGCTAACTAAAGTAAATACTATAAATGAATACTATAAGGAAAACTATAAAATCTTTAGGCATTTACTCGCTGTCTTCCTGCGGAACGGGCTTGGGAACCAAGTCCTCCTGATCTGAAATGGTTAAGTAAGGAATGAGCTACACTAGCCTAGTAAAGATGTTACATTATCTCACTGTCACATAATTAAAGGTTGGTAGAAAGCAAAAAACGACAAATGAAGCATAATTTATAACAAATTCATTTATCAATAATAAAACCCTTTACTGTCCACTTACCTTGGTGAGATTCATGAAAACAACTTATGAAAACAATAACATTATAATATCAGGAAATCATACGCACTCTGTAACATAACACATGTCATACTTTTAATATTTCAATCATTAGGCAATAAATTTTCTCTTTTACCAGCCTACTAGTATCCATGGGGATCCATAGGGGTCCCCGCTACACGTAAACCATTCACCTTAATAATTTAATCCAGGGCCGTCCCCATACCCCGTCCAGCATGAGGGTGAAGCGGGCCGTCCCCATACCCCGTCCGATATGAGCGCTAAAATATTTAAAGTCTCCATACCCCGTCTGGTATGAGAGACAACGTTCCCGGTAAGGTTCTCTATGGACCTAGTCCGTCCACCATCTCCCAGGATATCTAGTGAGGCTGTCGACTTATCCATTTATCAATTCACATACCTTTTCTATTCTTTTCTTAGTTTTCTGTTTCTCATATAATCATGAATATTTAAACCAGTAACGAACATCCAACAATGCAGACATATCATCGGATTCACAAAATCAAGCAGTAGTGAAGTAAACAGTGATTCATGCATTCAAAACTATAAAATAAATAGATCAGACACCATAATGCCTTTAAAACTATAAAATAACTAAAACTGCAACTAACCGAAAATATATCAGATTCGGGCTCCATTAGCAATCTTAATCAATTATATATATCTATTAATTCATAAAATACCATTTTATCATTTATTAAACTTTAATGTTGTAATAGGAAATAGGGTGAGAGATTCTTACTTGATTCAAAGTCTAAAATCAATTTTTTTACTGTGCCTACGGGCAGTCCCTAGATTCCCTGAATTTTTTTTCCCGGAACTGAAACACACTTTCGGTACCTGCACATATCCCCAAAAAACTCCAAATCAGACCTAGGGCCTCCTCGGCCAATTTTAAAATTTCGGAACCGCCGTGCTCCAGCGGCGATCTGCCTCGGGTTGGCCGTTTCCGGCCGTATTTGGCCAAACTTGCATTGGTTTCTATGATAAAATACACGTAAGGCCCTCGGTGGGCCCAAAAAACTCAAAAAATCAAGACTTACCAGTGGCGGAGCTCTCGGGTGCGGCGGCTCCTTTGGCACAAGTCTCGATTTGACGTTTTGCTTCGGTCAACCTGTAGAGTAAAGGACAGTGGTCACAGTGGTGTAAAAATTACATCGAACGGGAATCAGGAAGGGCCTCATCGGAGGCAAAAACTGAGAAAATCCGCAGCGGTGCCGCTGGGCTTCGACGGCATTTTTCGGCCAATTAGCCGGTAGTTTGGCTCCAATTTGGCCACATGGGGGTTCAGCATCAAAATTCGAGCCAAGTGGAGAAATTTTACCTCGTTTGGCGACTGGAAAATGCTCTGGTGCGGCGGCGGTTGGCGGCGGTCGGTTCCTCCGGTGGCTGGACTGTTTTCTCCGGCGAGGACTCTGGCAGCTAGGGTCTGGGGTTGGGAGTGGATAAGATTATTTATAACCTTTTTCTTTTAATATGAGCCGTCCATCACAATTTAAGTTGGGTCGTCCGATCGCGATTAAATTGGAAATGAATCTGAGCCGTTCGTGCGTGATTCAATCTGGGCCATCCGCACGTGTGCAATCTGCGCCGTCCGCTCGCACGTTTGATTTGAGCCGTCCGTGCGCGCAGAAACGGATCTCAGCCGTCCGATCGCGCGCACGCGGATCGCCCACGTGGTCCGTTTCGCGTGGCCTTCCTGTGTTAGCGTCTCTGCCACGCGGCATGTCCTTGTTGGCCGGAGCCGCTGACCGGGCTGCTGACGTGGTACAATTTTTCTAAATTGCGTGTTGACTCTTTGATTTCCGATTTTCTTTTCAAAAATACATACAGAATCCGAATTTTCACCCATTTTTTCCAAAATTGTTTTCAATTAAACCTCAAAAATAATTTTATCCATTTTTGTCATTATTATTATTTTTATTTTTATTAAATTAAATTTAACTAAATTAAAACAATTATATTATTACTTAAGTAAATGAATTAAAAAAAAGAAAATTAAAAAAAATCAAAATTATAATAATTCTAATAATAATAATAATAATTAAAATTAGGGTGTTACATATATATTATGTGCCATAAAATACAATTACTGAAAAATTTATAAATGAATAAATATAAATGATATATTAAATATTTAAAATAAAACTTTAGACATAAATATCTATAATATATAAATATAATAAAAATTCGTTCTGTGTAAAAATCATACATGTTTTGGTATAATAATACAAAGTTAAGTTATGATGCTGATTAATTAAATAACAATAACAAGATTAATTTTTATATTTCTTACTCAAATTAATAATTAAATATTTGAATTTCGAGGATCGATTTGTATTTTTTGTGGAAATGCCTTAATTTTATAATTTTTTTTTTCTGATTTTACAGCATAATTGAAGTGTTTTTGCATTAGTAGAATGGTTAGAATGTAATTATAAGTTATTAACTTAATTTTATTTATAATGATTATAAAATTAATAATAGTGAGTTAGTATTATATTTTATTTTAAAATATTTAAAATTAATTAATAAAATATAAAGTTAACAAAAAATATTAATTAAAATTATTATCTAATTCATACAATTATTTTTTAGAATGATCTATTTTTAATTTCTAATTTCATATTTAATAAAAAAAAATAATTTTGCATTTAATCAGTATTTTTTAAAGTGTTTGACTAAATTGCCAATTTTTTAAACGGTAGAAAAAACCGACCGAACAAACTAAACGCAGTGAACCGAAAGCCATTTAAAATATAAAATTGGACCGAACCGGTTTTCCTTTATCCGGTTCAGAGTCTGACCCGTTTCTCTATCCCCCTCTATGTTCCCAGGTGTCCCATAAGCTTCTTGTTTGTCCATTGTAGCAGCCCAGTCCTGCTTGTTCCCAGTTGAAACTAAACAAACCCAAAACCAAAGTGAAGTCCCAAATGCCCACCAATTTCTGTTTCTCCTTTCCATATGCTTCATAATACAACTTCTATGGAATCCGTATTCGATTCTTCACTCGCTACCCCCTTTGTCTCCCTGTCATCTCCGCCATATCAAAACTTTAAACTTCAATTCAAAACAAGATACATTTCAAGAAGTCATAAATTCTCTTATAGACCATCCAGCAAAACCTGTAAAACCCTACCAACTAGTCGTACCATTACGTTATTTAGCTTCAAACGTTTTTGTACGAACTCAAAATGCTCCCGCGGAGAAGAAGATGCGGTTTTAGAAGTACTCAGCAGCTCAAAACTGGAAAAACAATCGCTAGTTTCCACTGGGTATTCCACCAAGAAAACGGAGAGTGTAATCCAATTCATAACGAAGTATGTCGCGTCTACATTGTTTTGTATTGCAATTGGGCTCTCCCCAGTTCGTTCATTTCAAGCTTCTGCAATCGCATCACCATTAGCTAGTATACTAACGTTGGATAAGAAAGTGAAAATGAAGGAAGAAGAAGTGGTTTTGAAGAATAAGGATCATGAATATTCGGAATACACTAGGAAACTTTTGGAGACTGTTTCAGTTTTGTTGAGGAGCATTGAGGGGGTTAGGAGGGGAAGTGGGGATGTTAAGGAAGTTGAGTTGGCGTTGAAGGCTGTGAAGATGAAGAAAGAGGAGCTGCAAGAGGGTATAATGGGTGGACTCTACGGGGAGTTGAGAGAGCTGAGGAAGGAGAAAGAGGGATTGGTTAAGCGTGCTGATGAGATTGTGGACTTGGCACCGAAGGTGAGGAGAGAGAGCGAGAAGTTGGCGGGTAAAGGGGAGAAGGAGAGAATGGAGAAGCTGGAGGAAAGCATGAGGATAATGGAGGAGGAGTACAGCAGGATATGGGGGAGAGTTGGAGAGATTGAAGATAGAATTCTGAGGAAAGAAACAATGGCTTTGAGTGTTGGAGTTAGGGAGCTTTGTTTTATAGAGAGAGAGTGTGAAGGGTTGGTGCAAAAGTTCAACAGGGAAATGAAGTGGAAGAATTCTGAGAGGTAATATCCTGGAATTTCCTTAAAATCCGGAGAAATCCAAGAACTAGTTAGTTGAATGAAATAATGTGTTTCTAGGCGAGTATTCTTTAGGATCACCAGTCAAGTATTTGTTTCCACCACACTATCAAAGATTCATGAATAAACTGCTCTACAGCATAGGGTGTACTCTAGTGTTTAGTTTAAGCTTTAGTTTTATCTATGCACTGTTGCTAATGAATTTGCTATAGTAGGGTTAGTAACTGAACTCTTAACCAGCATCTGAATTTGTTTCTTATAACTTTTGAAGCAAAGTATGTCTTGTCATGTAAAGAATGTATGTCTTTCAGTTTCCAGTGGTTGTGGAGTTGAAAAGCGTAAATGGTGGGACAACCCGTGCCTATCTCTCTCTCTCTCTCTCTTTTTAGTTGCATTGCTGTCATGTGTTATAGTGTTTTTATTTATCCAATTCTTTGATCATATCGCAATGTTCTTCCTTTTCTTTTTGTTACAAGTACTGCAGCGTTATTGATTCCTATCCTCTTAAATATCTATTAAAACAAAGATGGCTAAAAAATGCATACTTATTACTGCAGTGAACATATATAAGATAAAAGAAAACTTTGTAAGTAGTTGCTTTATGTTACTTGAGCTATCATGCATGTAATTTACTTTATGGAATAGAACTGGTGGATTATTCTTTTCCTGAGGTGGGCATTTTGGTCTCTCTGGTTTCAGCCGGCCAAAAAGTTCTGCTAAGCTCTCAAAATCTGAAATAAAGAAGGAATTAGAAGTTGCACAAAGAAAGCATTTGGAACAAATCATTCTACCTAATGTTGTGGAACTTGGAGATCCCTTACCTTTGTTTCATCAAGATTCAGTGGATTTTTCCCTACGTATAAAACAAGGCCTTGAGGACTCAAAGAAGTTGCAGAGAACTCTGGAGAATCGTATAAGAAAAAGAATGAAAAAATTTGGCCATGAAAGGCGTTTTGTTGTTAAAACACTGGAAGAGGAAGTTCTGAAGGGTTTTCCAGAAATTGAGTTAAAATGGATGTTTGGAGATAAGGAGGTTGTTGTTCCTAAGGCTGTAGGCCTTCATTTGTATCATGGTTGGAAGAAGTGGCGAGACGAAGCTAAAGCTGACCTAAAGAGGAAGTTGTTAGAAGATGCTGATTTTGGTAAACAGTATGTGGCACAAAGACAGGTAACTTTTGTCTTTGACCATGTAACAGTTCTACTATTTGCCAGTACTAGCATGTTTAATTTGTATTGGAGAAAAGTAAATATCTAGGAGACATGTTTAAGTGATAATATTTTTCCTTGTTTTGAGCATGAACAGTGGGGATCACAAATCCTTTTCTTGAGGAACTATGGCGCATCCTTTTTAAGTCATAGTGCTACATCAACTTAAATATTGAATGTTAAATTAACTGAAGCAAAATGACAAGATTACTGTTTTGTGCATGAAAATGCTATTTATGCTATTTTCTCCCTGGTTTGAACACTTTCTTCTCTTGAATATATTTATCACGAAGAAGCACCCTGTAACTTACACTTTCTTTTGCTTTGGTGCCCTATAATTTACAAGTTATGGATCATGGTTTACGGTGTGTTTGGTATCAGTTAGGTCATGGTAGGTTCAGTGAAGGACGAAATTTGGGCTTGGAGGGGCATTTGTGGCCATAGGAAGCATGTGGAGATGATCCCTTTAACCATATTTTGGGTGGTATGAAAGGAGAAGAATAAGAGAGCTTTTGATGAGGTTGGGGATGTTGATGGTTTTGATATCCTTAAGAATAGATGATTCTAGACCCTTGGTTTTTTTTTACGGAGTCATCCTATTTGTTTTCTTGGAGGAATTAACGAACTTTGTGGATAATTTTATTAACATGTAAATTTCTGAATATGGACGGCACCTTTTTGGTGCATATAGTAATATATTTTCACACTTTTTTATTTAAAAAATAATTACAAAGAAGCACCCTATTGAAGAGGGTCAGAGATTTGAAGTCCAATGCCTCTTCATTTGAAAGAAAAAGAGAATGGAAAATTTGCAATTCCCCTCTTTATTCTTTTGAAGAAGTTGGTTAACTGAAAATTCCCTTTCTTTTGTACTTCTGCATTTCAAAGATGACCAATTAGATAGTGGTCGTGGAAATGCATTTCTTTATTCTCCTTGAAATTAGCTTTTTCCTGGGTGACAAATTTTGTGTGCTGGATATAATAAGCTTTTAGATTTCTTCTCTGTTTAGTCACATCAAATGTGTTTGATTGATATCTAGTTCTGTCAGACTTGTTATGGCACTGTTATTAATCATGAGGGCATCATTCTTTTGCTAAAATTGTTATCCTCTCTTATATCTTTCTTGTTCTAATTTAACTGGAATGCATATTGGATATGGTACTTGGTTTATATATTTTCTGTAGTAATTATTGATGTTCTTGGTTTGTATTAACTCCTTTTACTTGTATTTGAAGCTTTGATAAGCTTCTCTATTTTCTTTTCACAAAATTAGTTCATGTAGTGAACAATTTAGTGATTTTTCATTGAAGGAACTTGTTCTTCTGGATCGAGATCGATTGGTCTCTAAGACGTGGTACAATGAAGATAAGAACAGGTGGGAAATGGATCCCATAGCCGTTCCTTACGCAGTTTCTAAAAGGCTCATAGAGAATGCCAGAATCAGGCATGATTGGGCTGCCATGTATGTTGCACTGAAGGGAGATGACAAGGAATATCATGTTGACATTAAGGTAACATGAGTTTGAATTTACTTCTGCAGAACATTTTCTTGTACACTTCTAATTAACATTCTTACTACAGGAATTTGATATGCTGTTTGAGGGCCTTGGAGGATTTGATGGACTGTACATGAAGATGCTTGCATGTGGTATTCCAACTGCTGTTCACTTGATGTGGATCCCTTTTTCAGAATTAGATCTCCAGCAGCAGCTTCTCTTGACAATAAGGCTAGCTCATCGATTCTTGACTGGGTTGTTGAAGACGAAAATTGTATCATATGCGAGAGACTGGGCTTTCCAGAAAATAAAAAATATAAATGACGACATAATGATGATAATTGTGTTTCCCATTGTTGAATTTCTCGTTCCTTACCCGGTATTATTTCTATGATAAACTAATGACATGCCACTTCATGTACAATAGTTCTCAGTTCTTACAGTCTAGTAGTATCATTGATTTATTTATGGTTTGTCTGCCATTTTAATACAGGTAAGATTGAGGTTAGGGATGGCATGGCCAGAGGAAATAGGTCAAACTGTTGGCTCGACATGGTATTTGAAATGGCAATCTGAGGCAGAAATTAATTTCAAGTCTCGGAACACAGAAGATTTTCAGTGGTTTCTTTGGTTTCTCATTAGAAGCTTTCTATACGGATTTGTTTTGTTTCACGCGTTCCGGCTCATGAAGAGAAAAATTCCAAGACTTCTTGGTTATGGACCTTTACGTAGAGATCCAAACTTGCGGAAATTACGGAGAGTGGTATTACTTTATTTATATACACTTTTTTTTTCTTCAGAAAAATTTTCTATTTGGACTATTATATCTGTTGCCTAGTATTACTTGTCTATGCCAACATGCATTGTTTTCCTGGCTTTTATGACTGAACTGCAATTCCGTGATTTCAACTAATGCACCTAAATTCTACCTTATTCGAGATAGGGTGGTCTTTTTGGCATCTTATGATCTAAGGCAAACTTTTTTTTTTAAAGAAAAAAGATAATATTAAAAAAGCACCAAAGAATGCAACTCGTATATAGAAGCTGTACAACAGTCTATAAAA